CCATTTTGATATATTGATCAAAGATTGTAATATATGACTTATTATTTTGAAATGGAGCAAATTATGGATTTGGTTTGGTGATTGCTAAATCATTTTCATATCTACCAAACATTAATAATAATTCAGCAAAACAGATTCGGAAAGGGGGCAACAACAATAAACGAGTTTTACCAAAATAAGAAAATTAAGTTGAGTTGACAGGTTGACCACCAAAATCATGGGCTTTTAGGCCTACTTATAATACAAAATGCTTTGTTGAGCATAAATCAAATTTGTGCCAAAGCCCAATACCTTTATCTTTGTGTTGGCTTTCCTGGGTTCATGTTAAGCAACTTTTGCCCATTTTATTAGTGTAGAATATTTTAAAATTAGTAAAATCCTCAACTCAATTAAATTTTGTTATAAACTTTCCCAATCAAAGATATGGTCGATGCTAGAAAAACCAATCACACTTTTCTTACATTATTTTGTAAAGGGTGTTTTCTCGTTTAAAAATATATACTAAAAGTACACAAAAATCTAATGTATTACTACAAAAAAAAAAAAAAAAAAAAAGTCTTATAAATGTAAAATTTTCTTTATGTAACATTGTTTATCATGTATGACGTGTTTTGATAGAAGGAATTAGAGAATTGAATGTAGAAAAGAAAAAGAGAAAAAGGAAGAGTAGAGAGGTAATGTGCAGTGAAAATGGAGTCATAATGATATATTGATGTTGCAGTTGTATAATTTAAATGGTTTCAGGAAAAGTTCCAGAAGAATTCTAGTACTCAGATTTTCTTATCTTCTAACATCCAACTACTACTACCACCTCCTCAGTCTCACTGCCAGTCGCCAGACAATGATTTTAAGTCAATACATATGAAATAATAAGAAGATTACAAATAATATATTGCTAGTTTAGAAAAGAGTTGAAAATAAAATAGAAGGGCAATGAAAGAAAAGAAATGGGATGGTAAGTAAATCTTAAAAACTCTGTTAATACTAATAAAGTTAATGCTTTATTATCAACCAATTAAAAACATGTAGCTCTATGTTACTTAGTTTATCTCTCATATTCTCATACTTTTTTTTTTTTTTTAATTTTACGTGCACTTCAATTAACAGATCCTAAAACTATTGACAGATAAAAGCTCGGTGGTTACCTCTGATAACACGAAGGAGAAGAATCCCTATCAAACCGTAGTTTATTCTCCACTTTTTCAGTTTTTCTATACATTATGAAAGTACGTATCTACCCTTACATTTTTTAAAAATAAAAACAAATGTAAAAGTAGAAACAATTTCCGAAATTGGAAAAGCAGCTTTTTCTTTCATGGTTTACACTCTATTAACAGCTTTAAACATCCAACCCCCACCCACCAAAAACCCTAAAACCCCTCCCTCTCGCAACCCAACCAAAAAAAAAAAAAAAGTAAAAGACTAAAGAACCTCCTCACCCATAAACCTGGCCAGCACATAATCATCCAAATCAGAGCCGTCCATTTCATCTCCCTTCAAAAACCCACCACCCTCCTCCTCGCCCACCACCCCATTTGAACCTCGGGTTCCAACTGCAACGTTGATAATCCCTCTAATGTCCACGCTCACCATGAGTGAGGACTCGGAGTCGGAAAAGGAGGAGCCGCAAGTCTCTTCGTTGCCGTTGATGGTAACATAAGAGGAATACGACTGAAACATCAAGGGTGAGGTGTAAGGATTCTCGATGAACTTGACTCTGGTGAGAGGTTTCGTGTCTAAAAAGTTGACGAGGTCACCCACTGTGACAGTGTCATCCTCCATCGACAGCCAAGCCATTATATCATCCCCTAAATCTCCGCCACCGGGCTCCTCTGTAGGACGTGGCCTTTTGACTGATGAGTCGTCGACGTCGTTTAGTTCATCACCCTCCCTCTTTCTGGTTTGCTCCATCAGTTAAAAAGGAGAGATTTAGATGGTGTAAATGGGTCCCAAAAACCAATAAAGAAAGATGGAAACGAGTTTGATTTGATTTAAACAAGTAATGAGAAATATAGAGTGTGTGGGTGCCACGTGGGAGGTAGGGGAGAGGTGAGTGACGTGGAGGACAGAGTCAAAGTGATTAGACTTTTCCTTCCATCCGATTGAGTGGAGTGGTGTGATGGCAGGAAAGGCGGGAATTTGCGTGATGGCATTGAACTGATAAAATGTCAGCAATACTAGTCATTTACAATTTTACCCTTTAGTCATATGAAAGTATAAGTAAGAAAAACAATAGATTAGACGTGGCGGACACCGAAGGTTGGCGGTTGCGTGTGTTACTAAAAAACGGGAGATGTTTTGAATTGAATGTAAAACGATGAAATTGCGGTGTCTGCCTTTCTGGAGAGCAAAAAGCTCATGAATCATGACATCATTGGGGTTAGAATTAAGAATTATTATATCTTATGGGGGGTAGAAGTGTCATGATACTTTGCGGTATGAAAATGGAGGCCCGCGTTACAAATGTATTAAATTTCTGGTCAATAGAAAAATAAATTAGAAATGAAGCATGAGAAACGTGATGGTTAATGGCTATGGGAGAAAGAAATTGATAATAGCGAGTGGGAAATTAAAATCTACAAGGGTTATATTTACTTACCCATATTAAAATTAATAATATCTTCTTCTTTTTTGTGAATTTTATATATTCGTTTTTTATTATATGAAAATTGTTATACCTAAAAAATTGGGACTGACATAGACTCTCGTCAGCAAGAGCCAATTAGAAATCAGAAAGGTTTTCTGTCGTCCAGACGTTGCCACGTCACGCAATGACGGAAGAGGTATGGTTATTGTCAGTGCAGCAGGTAAACGTCAGGCTTGCGAGTGGCCGGGGATCGTCCACCTGCCCAAGCCCTATACAATTTGAGAATATTTCTCATATCGATAACCAATGGGATGCAAGGAATGACTTGCACGACACCTACTCACTTGCAAATTTGTAATTATTACCTTGAATTCTCTCACTATAAATAGAGGACTCCCCTCTCATTTACGGGATTGGCTTCTCTTAGTCTAAAACAGCTTACATATTCTCTCCCTCTCTCTCTCTCTCTCTCTCTCTCTCTGTATTCTCACTAAATTGTAACTCAACTCGCCTCATGCGACTTAACTGTATCCATCTATTAATACTACAACAGTGGACGTAGGATTCACTTTTGAGCATCCGAACCACTTTAAAAACCACTTCTCATTTATTCTCTCATTTTATGTTTTCATATCACGTGTAATTTCTAAGTCTGCTTAGCATTTTGCACGTGTGAGTCGTTAGTGTCAAAATCAAGCATCAACAGTTTGGTACTAGAAGGAGGGCCTGATTTAGTATCTGCTCTTCATCAGAAACCTCTGACTAATCGGACTTACCAATCAGCAAATGGCTCGCAGTTTCGAACCTGAGTGAACCGACCTTGACAATGAGGAAATCCCCCAGGTACAGGATGACACTTCTCCCGAAGTGTCGTCAGTCCAACAAAGTATCATGGCGGATATTCCTTTAAGCTCACGGCTCGACCCAACCGTAATGAATTACTTGGAGAGGTTCAATAATACTCTTTAAACGGTTAGCAAAATGCTGGACCGTTTGGATCGAGTCGTGCCACCAGAATCCAATGAAGCGGTGCCACTGCCAAAAACGTCTGCAGGTCATGTGAAAGCGTGGAAAAGGGTGAAAACCCATACTGCGTGTACTGTTGTGCACAAAAGTAGGAGAAAGCAAGCGGCGAGCAGCAGACCAAAGGGCTTCGAGGGACCCGCGAACATCGGTCGCGCAACGGGTAGAATACCCGTGGCACTGCGACTTGACGACATGTCGCAGCATGAGCCGTCACACGCCACGTTGCATGGGCACTCCCACAAAAGTGCAAGGTAGGGAGATTCCCAAAATCGCCGAAATGACGACCTCGACCATCATCATGAGGGAAATCTTCATCGTCCGCGGGTCGGTTCGAACCACCGCGGAGATCAGGAAAACCCCTTGAGTCATTCAATGCCTTCATATGACTCCAGCCAACGTGTGTCAAGGTTCGCCGAAGCTTCCGACCGAGTTAAGGAATAGTCCGATTTGCGGTCTTTCCTCAACCGCAATCGTGAGGGTCGAACCCACGTTGCAGAAAGTGATCCTTAGGCAGCTCCACTACCTCAGAATAAGGAACTACAATGAGCTTTGGATCAGCTTAGGGCTTAGTAGAATGAGTGTGGGAAGGTCGCAGAGGCGTCTCCTTTTTCCCTGGCAGTTTTAGCTACTACTCTCCTATCAAGATTCATAATGCCCGACATGCAAGCATTCAATGGGAACTTAGACCTGCAAGATCACCTTTACGAGTTCAACGACCTCATGGAACTCCACCAAGTCTTCGACTTGGCCAAATGTTGTTGTTTAGCAGTAACCCTAACTACCCATGCCAAGCATTGTTTAAGTCGCTTCCCATGGGATCAATCCGCTCATGGCATTAAATGAGCTTATCATTCCTAAGACACTTCCAAGCGAACAGGAAGTTCTTAATGCCGTTGAGCTACCTGAGCAACATACGGTAGGAGATGGATGAATCTCTCTAGTCTTACATAGACAGGTTCCACAAGGAACTCTACAAAGTGGCTCATACTCTTGAAAAGTCCGTTCGAACTCTCATTATCGCAGGAGTTTGCGGCAGATAGATTTGTGGAAGGAACTGCAATCCGAGGACAATGTTTCCCTCACTCGCTTCTACAACCTCACAGAGAAATACCTCTGAATTGAAAATTCCGTGGCCGTTCTCAATCGCCACGACCCCGATCCCTCGAGCAGTGTTCCCAACTGGAGGGAGAATAGTAGAAAGGCTGATCGCAGATGGGCTAATGACGATCAACATAAAGGAAAGAAGCAACAATTTGAGCCTAATAAATCTTTTGCCCCAGTTTCTCATCACGATCGCGACAAGAATCAATACACTCCTCTGAATGCCTTAGTGTCAGCCATCATAGATAAGTCAAAAAAGGCCAACCTGCTCGAAGAGCCAAAGCCCATGAAGAATCCCCCATCAGTTAGAAACAACAAAAAATACTGTCGTTATCATCGGGATAATAGGCATCACATCGATGAGTGTCGGGTTCTCAAGCAGGCGACCGAAAACCTTACGAAACAGGGGCACTTCAAAGAGTATGTTGACGGCCCGACTCCCATTTTGGAGAAGGATCAAGAGGAACCAGGGAAGAAGTGTTGTTGTCACAAAGGACTCTACTGTATAGGGATCATCTTCGGAGGATCACACCTCATGGGGAATTCTCGAGGTGCCCAGGAGAGGTATGCTCAGGAAGCCCGTCATGACCCCGTTAGTGTAATAAGCACGGTGTGGGAGGAGGAGATCACCTTCTCTAAGAAAGACGCGGTACAAATGCATCATCCCCATCATCCCCATGAGGATGCATTCGTCATCGCGCCTGAATTAGATCGATGCGAAGTCCATAGAATGTTGTTAGACAATGGAAGCGTTGTGAATATTCTGTTTCAACGAGCTTTCGAGAAAATGCAACTGGACGAGGCAAACTTGAAGCCTGCCTCCATCCCTCTCTATGGTTTTACTAGGGATCATCTGATTCCTAGGGGAACGATCTTACTCTCGGTCACGTTGGGTGAAGCCGATGAAGTGACCAAAATGACAGAATTTTTGGTGGTAGATTGTCCGTCCACCTTCAATAGCATTTTGGGACGACCTCTACTGAGAAATTTCAAGGTAGTCATCTATCTACCATCTAATAATGAAGTTCCCTACCCTAACAGGGATAGGGAAAGTAAGCAGATCTCAACATGAATCTTGCGATTGCTACATAGGAGCAGTGTAAATGGCGTACAAGGGAAAAGGAAGGCCAGTAGGTATCCCCGAACAAGCAATGACGATCAGCATGATCGAGCCACAGCTCGACCCAATAGAGGATAATATAGATCCTCGCATCCAAGAGTGCCCTCACAGTGAGCCAGTCGATGACTTATCTGATGTATCAATCGATCAAAATGAGCCGACCTGAGTGTTGAGAATCGGGAGTAATCTCAACCTTCAGCTCGCTAAAGACGTGACAAGCTTCCTCAGAGAGAATGTCAACCTTTTTGCATGGACTCATGCTAACATGATTAGGATCAGCTCGAATGTCATATGTCATGCACTAAACATTGACAATGCGGTTAAGCTGGTTCGCCAGAAGAGAAGAGCAATGGACCCTAAGCACTATGCTGCCTTGAAAATCGAGGTAGATAAGCTCATTTTGAATGGGTCCATTTGAAAAGCGCTCTACCCGAGCTGGGTTGCAAATCCGGTTTTGTTAAAGAAGCCCAATGGCAAGTGGCGAACCTGTGTTGACTTCACCGACCTCAAAAAAGCTTGTCTGAAAGACAACTTTCCCTTGCCAAGAATCGACTAGCTCGTCGATTCCACCTCCGGGCACAAGCTGCTGAGTTTTATGGACGCATACTCGGGATATAATTAGATCCCGATGTACGCATCGAACAAAGAGTATACCTCGTTCGTTACAAATCAGGGGCTGTATTTTTACAAGGTCATGCCCTTCGGCCTAAAAAATGTTGGGGCAACTTACTAGCGGCTGGTTAACTGTATGTTTCCGAGCAGATCAAAAAATCGATGGAAGTCTATGTTGATGACATGCTATTCAAGTCGCATGTCGCTTCAGATCACATAGCACATCTTGCTGAAATGTTTAGTGTACTCCAAAGGTACATAATGAAGCTCAATCCTCTCAAATGCTCATTTGGAGTATCCTCGGGAAAGTTCCTAAGGTATATGGTTAACCAGAGGGGAATAGAAATCAACCCCGAGAAGATTCAAGCTCTCTTTGATATGAAAAGTCCAACCAACCGAAAACAGGTTCAGAGTCAAAATGGGAGAATAGCGGCTTTCAGTCACTTCATATCAAGGGCAACAGATCATTGCTTGCCATTTTTTAATATACTCAGAGCCAACAAAAAGTTCGAATGGACTCCAGAGTGCGAGCAAGCTTTTCAGAACATAAAAGAACACCTCGGAAAGCCACCCCTCATGTCCAAGTCTCTCCTCGAGGAAATTCTACTCTTGTACCTGTCTGTCTCTTAGCATGCGGTCAGCATAGGTCTCATTCGGGAAGAGGGCAAAGTTCAATGGCCAGTGTATTATGCGAGCAAGCGACTGTTAGATGCCAAGACGCGGTATCCAGAGATTAGCTTATGCCCTGCTGATCAGCTCTAGAAAGTTGCGACCCTACTTCTATGTCCACACGATCCATGTCTTGACCAACTACCCTCTCAGGCAAGTTCTTTAGAAGTCGGAAGCTTCGGGTAAGTTACTCAAATGGGCAATAGAACTGAGTCAGTTCGATCTGCATTACAGATCGAAAGCAACCATCAAAGGGCAGGCTGTTGTCGATTTTATTTCGGAATTCTCATACTAACCGAATCAGGAATCCAAGCAGCAAGCCAACGAAGTCACCCAAGAAACTGTTCAGAACTTATCAACATAAAGCCTCTATGTCGATGGTTCTTCGAATAAGAAAAGAGCTGGGGTAGGTCTTCTCCTCCTCAGTCCCGAAGGGACTCGCATCCATGGAATTATTTGATTTGGGTTCCAAGCTACGAACAACGAGGCAAAATACGAAGCGTTGCTCGCTGGCCTGCGATTGGTGAGAGAAATGGGATCAAGCGTGATCAATATTTACAGCGATTCCCAGCTGGTTGTCAATCAGATCTTGGAAGAATATCAAGCTAAGGAAGAAAACATGATCAATTATCTGAAGAAAGCTAAGGCCGCACTCTAATCTTTCAAGCACTTTATGATCAAACAGATTCCGAGAGACAATAACTCTGTCGCAGATGCCTTGGCAAGAATAGCCTCATCGCTAGACTCAGATGTGCCGAAAAGTATTCCAGTTCAGTACATAGAGATTCCTAGTATCAGCTCGCCCGAGCAGACCGTAGCTACAACAGAGTCAATTTCCTAGATGACTCTAATCATTCAGTATCTTCGAGATGGGACTCTGCCCTGTGACAAGATTGAGGCAAAAATCTTGCGCACCAGAGCTGCTTGTTATACACTCGTCGGAGATCAGTTGTACAAGCGAGGGTTTAACACCCCTCTCCTTCGATGTGTAACCGATGAAAAAGCAGACTATGTCATGAGGGAGATACACGAAGGGATCTGCGGTAATCACATTGCCACACGATCCCTCGCCAAAAAAATTATCCGTCAAGGGTACTATTGGCCCCTACTTCAGGAAGACACTTTCAATTTTGTAAAAAAGTGTGACAAGTGTCAGCGGTTCGCGAACATCCCGCGAGCTCCTTCCCACCAGCTGACAACAATGACCAGCCCTTGGCCATTCTTCATATGGGGAATTGATCTTATTGGACCCATGCCAGCTAGAAAGGGGGGCATCAAGTATGTTCTGGTTGTAGACGTAAAAATCTACCTGTACGGAAGGGGGGGTCTGATCCCGCGAGGTAGAGGCCACTAGCGATCTGCTGTACCTGCACACGTAGAGAAACACACGCGTGAAGCGAACAGAAAACACCAGCGTGGTGTTTGCCGTAGGCACTCCGACGCTCAAGTCAGCAAGGCTGAATGGCTAATATAGTGAGGGCTAGGGAATGAGAGATTACCGGAAGTCTAGTCGGGGACTGTGACTACGGCGAATAAGTGAAACTCTCGAGTAAAGAGTCTCGGGTGTGAAGGTGTAATGTCGATGTCCTTTGTGAGAGGGCTGGCCTCTGCTTATATAGTGGTCGTCTGGTCTTCCAATCCTGGTGGGAGCAGGAGTCCTAGTGTAACTCTGATGTCAACCCTAGAAGAATCAGGGCCGTAATCAGCTGTCTTTATCAGTGTCTAAATAGGAAGTTAATTCTATTTAGGAGAATGACCCTCAAGTGGGAAAGTCGCCAGGAAAGAGGAAGACGACCTTGAATAGGGGATTGATCAAGAATGGGAAAATGTTGAAGGGGCTATGGGCTCTGGGCTCACCCATAGGCCTAGATATTGGACAGGGCTTAAGAGGCTCGCGCCCATGTAATTCGGGCCAGTTATACTTCGTATCAGATAGGGCTAATCCGAATTGGGCCTCTGCGAGATTGGGCCTGGTCATTCTTCACCAGTGATCTTGTTTTCCTATTTGGGCCGAGGACGATTTTTGGCCCTAACAGTTTGTCCCCTACTCTCTGAGTTGAGAGTAACTCAAGTCAGAGAGTAGGTTACGTAGAAGGCGAGCTCGGTCTTCCCTCATGGACGAACGACCATTGAAGTGATTGCTCTGACCATTGCAGGTGATTCTTGGTTGAACCTCGCTCGGTATCTCCTCCCGACCCAAAATTTTCTATCCTTGTGTGGCGTCTGGTCGGTTCGGCGAGCTAAAGAGTAGGGAGCCAGATGCGATCGGTCGGTACAACCGCATGACTGGCAAGGGACTGTTAAAAAGGCACTCATTCGTCATGTTGGGTCGGACAGGTTCAGGAAGTACTAAAAGCTTCGTTCGGTTGGGATGATGGGACGACTAAGCGGGTGAGGCGTCTCGGGTGCATGTCGTCCACTCGTTCTTTACGGACGGGTGATTGGGCGAGATTCAAATCTTGTTCCGAAGATGGTTCGACCCGGACCATTCTCAACTCGTGCATCGGTTGACCAGGCCTTCCGGGCCGGCTGAGCATGGGATGCTTGGGAGGGCCCCCGAACCGAAAAGTCAGTCGGGTGGATCGAGTGGCCAAGTGAAGTTGTTGGCGCGTGTAGACTGGACGCGTGTCGGATTCATTCCAGGCGGTACAAATGGAGTCGGTCGGAAGGAATGGGCGATCGGGATGCAGATTCCGTATGGGACAAATGATTTCCCAGGTGATTCGGATCGTTGCCACGTGTATGGTGGTGATCTGTCCGTTGTTTTGAGAGCGGGAAAATGAAGAGACTCCTGACACCTGACCAATCACAGCCTGCCACGTGTTCACGCTGTCTTTACAAAATCAGAGAGTCAGCTGTTCATCTTCCATTCGCATTGGTTTTTGGTTTTTATCTAAAAATTTTCTCTCCCTTTTTTCTTCGTTTTTGTCCCAGTTTCTTGAGCGAAGGTGGTCTTCTCTACAATCATCCAAGGTAATTTTTCCTTTTGAGGTCGTTTTGCTGTTCTGTAGGTAGATTTCTTTTTGATGAAATTTCTGGGAAGCAGGATAAGGATGTTTTGAGTTTTTGAGTGGGTTTAACTTGGGTTTCCAAGCGTTTTGGTGTTAGGATTTTGGTGATAGGTGTGGGTTTGAATTTTCCGGTGGATATCCGGGAAGAATCTGGTCGTAGGTGAATTTTTTTTGGGTTTTTTGGATTGGGTTTGGAAGACAAAGTCGACTTTGGCGTTGTTTGGGTCGGTCGGTATGTCTGACCGAGTGGCGAGGAGGCGTGTGGTGGATTAGGCGATCGGTCGTTCAGGGCGAGTGAGTTTAGGTTGAGGGATTAGTGATCGAGGTGAGTAGGCGACTAGGATTGAAATTGGAGGTGGATCGGTCGTCTGGGGCGAACGAGTTGGTGCTCTATTGATTTTGGCTTAGGGTCGTTCGGTTGGAGGGGTCGACCCAGGGCAGAGGCTCTCGTTGTCGGGTAGGTCGACTAGCGAGCTTTTTCTTTCGGTCGGTCGGCTAGGTGGGACGACTGGCTATATAGGGTTCCACCTCGGTAGAATGGGTCGACCGAGGTTGAGGAGGCTGGTTTTGAGGGCATCGTTCGGTGTTGAAGGGCGACCTGTAGTTGGTTGACACTTAGTGCTTCAGTTCGAGTCCCCTAAGGAACGAGTCGGTCGGTGG